GTACAGTGTGGTCAATACGATCAAAACACTTACTGTAATCTGTGTAAATTACATCTACTTGTGACGGCTCGGACATGTGTTTAGCAAGGCAGTCACTACACAAAAGAAGGTTAGACGTAGTTGATCTGCCACTCAGGAATCCATGCTGTACTAGACATAGTGCCTGCTTAATGGACGCGTAAACCTGGCCATAAACGATTTTTTCGAAAATTTTTGCAAACAAACACAATTTTGATATAGGCCTGTAATTCTCTACTATGTCCTTTAGACCTTTCTTATGTATGGGCGTTATATATGCAGACTTCCAGATTTTGGATACAATGCCTTCAATCAGTGAGCGACTAAATAATATACAAAGAGGAGTGGAAAGAGAACTAGAGCATCTAGAGATAAGTATTGCAGGGATATTATCTGGGCCGGCTGACTTGTTCAGGTCAAGAGACTTTAATAGCTTGCATACCACAGACGCGTTAACTTCGATATCGCCTGTTTCACATGCGGAGTTAACAATGTCGTTAGGTGCGCTGTCAGTCTGAGGGCTATGTGAGAAAGTTGAATGAATGTAATCACTGATCATATTACATAATGACTTCCCCATTACTAGACGTGCGCTGCGCGTATTGAAGTGCAGCAGGATATGTGTTATTATGATTCTTTAATTTCACATAGGACCAGAACGCTTTGGGGTTAGAAGTGATATTTTCCTCAACATCCGACATATACTTATCAAACATTGCTTTTTCTAAAATCCTTGCTCGATCTCTTAAAAGTGACAAAGGATTGAAAGTCATGCCGGTTACTATATTTTTTATACTTTGAGTGATATTAATGTTTTTCTTTTAAAACTTTTATAAGAGGCCTACCAAACCATGGAGGGTATTTTGATGACGAAGTAACTAATTTTGAAGGCACAAATTCAGTTCGAAGGTCGCACATTCAGCACGCCATAGAAAAAAGAGACGGCATCATTCAATGATCCGCGATGCAATTCAAAATTCCAGTCAATCGCATGGAGTTTACAATTAATAGAATCATAATCCCCAGACTGGTAACAATATTTTATATAGGGCAAGAGGATGGAGTTGTACAAAGTTTGCAGAAATACATAAAGCAGGATGATACGGATCCTCTGGTACTAAGGGATTGGAACAACGAATTACCGAGATTTCAATATTACAAAATACTAAATCTAACATTTTACTTTTGTTATTGTCTATAAAATTATATTGTGATAAATTACATAAATTAAAAGAATCAAACAAATCCGTCTGAACAGAACCCCTAATACCCCCTGGAACAATAGACCCGTGGGCCATCTCGTCTGCCACCCATATCAAGTTGGGCATATTAAAATCTCCAATAATTACAAACTTATCGCAAGGATTATTCAAAACAATGTCAGAAAGGTGCTCAGAAAATAATGCCAGTTGGTTAGTTGATGAGGTACCTTTGTTTTGATTGCAAATATATACAGTACATAAGTTGAGTTTGAAAGCTACCTTCGGCTTCTGGTGTTACAACGTAAGAGTTACCCACAAGTCTTCAGCGTTAGAGCACCAATCGCTGCGAACGGCCGCAGTGAGCTCTTTACGTATAGCGATCAAAAGTCCACCACCCAAGGATTGTTGAGCAAACCATGTACCTACTGTCAAATAATTCACTATCTTTTATACCTTCTAATAACCAAGTTTCCGTTAAACATATAATATCAAAAGAGTTCAAGCAAATATTTCTATAGAAATTAGAAGTTTTAGTACGCAAGCCACGTACGTTCTGGTAATAAATGTTAATCATTTTTGAAAAAAGATGTGTTAAATACTGAATGATATAATGTATAAAGGTAAAATAAATAAATATATGTAGTTAAAATAAAATGAAAGCGTGAACTCGTTGCAAAAATTAAATAAGTAAGCATCAATGCGCGTAAAAATAAAATAAATAATGCGATCGCTATTATCTTGTATAAGAAACATATTAGCGGGCGTCTTAGCAAACAATTGACACATGTAGGGTAAACAATAGCAGTAAGCGGCGGTGGGGATCGCAGCGAGACCGCACGACAGCGAAACAAAGGTGAGCGTGTGCACGTGATAAGCGAGTTCGTGGACTGCCAGTGGCTCTCAAATTATAATATGTGTTGTTAATGTATTCAACACAAGTATGTATAAATTTTGAAAGTTGAGACGAAGTAGTGAGTGACAAAAATAGCTTTGAAGCGAGCACGATATCACTCTGACATTTACTAAGCAAAAATAATTCAACAAAAACGACATCAATAAAACAATTTAAAAATAATCTTATTATAAGTAGTAACAATGTTATAGTCACAATTATACTAACTTTTTTAGATCCGCTTCCGACTTTATAGCTATAACGTGAGACGTGGGGCTTTTCCTTGCATAAATTTTGCACCGCTTTACCCAGGTAAATGCAAAATCCTTCTCCTTAGCCAATGTCTTCGCTTTATTTAGTAAGAGCTTGTCCTCCAGAGTCAGATAATCGTTAATAAAAATCCTGTTTACCCCGGGAAGTTCCAGGTCCGTTGGAATAATAGTAAATTTCTTAGCTGCAGCCACGAAGTCCTCCTTCTGATACCTGTTATGCACCGACACGATTATAGTTTTATTGACTTTGTCATTTCTCAGGGGAATCCGAGCTATGTAGTTTATATTTTCTTTAGGTATAGTACACTTAATGTGATCGCCAAGTTTGGCGAATATCTGGAACAGGTTTTCTGATTGCGTTCCGGGCTCTCATTTTATCTCAATATTGTTCATACGAGATCTTCGTTCTCCATCTCGAACCAAGCTTTCCAGCTTGTCCATTCGCTGCTGCAGCATCTTAATCTCATCTCTTGTTTTAGGCAGTATCTGGATTTCTTTTTTGATATCGCTTATTTTGCTGGATAAGGTGTCCACAGAGTTATGCATGAAATTTATAGATTCCTTCACATCCGCAAGCTCCGGTTTCACATTTTTCAGTTCAGCTAATTCCGTATGAATGCTCGTAACACTAGCCACCAGCTGCGGAAGTGATGCTGTTAAAGCTGTTAGCCGCTTTAGTTCCGTCATCACATCGCCGAGGTCCACAGTGGATTTAAGTGACGTGGCTTTGCTTGAAGATAGGTGGGGACTCGCTGAATTTTTGCAAGTAGTGCATCTCCAGGTGGCTTTTCGATCACCAAGCTTACGATAGCCCACTTCCGTAATCCCAGCGCAAGGAAAGTCGAGATGACAGAGACACACCGAACATTGGACTCCGTCTCTAAATTCAGCGTCACATCGTTTACACTTAAACATTGTTGCTAATACTTTGGGAACTACTGACTTACAAGAGATGACAAAGTGGTGGGGTATATGCGTGTGCACAGTCCGACGTCGAATGGGAATAGGCCATATGGCAAAAAAGTCGTTAAAATCCAAAAACAAAGATCTGCAAAAAGAACTTCGTTCCGTGGCTTAGTTGGCATGGCGTCTGGAAAGGTTTGCTGGCAGACGTTGTTTAGAATAAAGCCGGATCGAAGGATCTTAGTGTTCAATTGCATGAATAATGATTACAAGCCAATGGATTTGCTAGAGACGGAACGTTGTCGACGTTCAGCGTCAGTGATTGTGTAATTAAATATTGAACAAGTAATTTACGTATAGTAGCATTTCATAACGAGTGTGAATGCTACTTCGAAACAATATGGCTAGATGAAAAATTAATAACAAATTAAATGATAAACACATCAAATTCACTAAAACGGTCTTTGGGATTTTATAAGTGTAGAGTGCATTCATGCAAATAAAAAATACTCTGGCACTTCGGCTTCAAACCATAACTGTTGCGATATGTAATTGTTCAAAGTTTACATTACATGACATTACATAGAAATAACGTTATTTCAACTGTTAGCTATTCTATGATTTCGAAATGATTACGGTTCGGAGCCGAGATGCCATTAATCATTATTTGTGTCGATGCTTTCTCAGTGCTTTCCAAATTTGATTCGTGACTTGTGAAAAATCATGGCTCTGAACTCTTTATGTCCCGCAGTCGTTACGGCTAGGAAACGAGGCCCTATTGTTATTATTTGTGCCCCCATCGAGTTGTTCTTAGATTTTCGCAATTGTTGTACACAGGAAATTGAACTATTTTTATTTATCGGGTCTAAATCACATATAATTGTTTATTCAAACGAACCAAAGATTACAGGTCCCATGATCACGGCTGACCGATGTGCCTTTATTTATTTCATTTTCGTTTATATTTCTACCCCGTACAAGAATAATTGAGTTTCATTTGTAACTTCAGTATTTATTCCTCAGTATGTCTCTAGTAGGAACAGCTCAATAATATTTCCAGGACTGTATTGTACTGGTAACACGGGGTTTGGTGTCAAAAGTAATTATCTTGTCCTAGGCTCAGTTAGAAGAAGAATAAATAACAATGGTTTCAAAAATAATTAGTCACCAAAATTGACAAAATCCCATCAACAACGTTGAGTCGTAATTGTATTTAGTCAGTCTCTAGTTTCGTTCAACAGAATCATGGAAACGTAAAATAAAATAATTTAAAACTTTGCTGCCAATACAGTTTGCCAAAGTAAGCCTTAAATAAAATTTGATAAAATTTGTAATTTAAATTCAAATCCAATTAATCGCAGTTTTCATTCTCTCAGAGTTTATAATGAAGTGTTGGGAATTGAGGAAGGGTTTATTAATGGTATTTTATACATGATCTCCCTTTAAGACGGCCAATTTTGAGATGATTACTTTTGTATATTTTTAGCTGTTTTGTTATCGAACATTCGTTACGACAACACGTAAGCGAACTCTTTGAATAACCGTAAAAGCATTTTGTAACCTTATATATAATTCAGTACTGATCAAATAACTTTCAAAGAGGCACAAATGTTCATTCATTTTCTTAATAAAATAAATCTTTTTTACTCATCACTATCCGTAAAATGAGTTAGATAATAGTGCAGACAATAATATATTTTTCTGTTGTTTCAGACAAAAATGAGCGCGCCTCTTTCAACAGCATGGACCAAACACTTGGCGATGGCATGAGACAAACACCGACATGCGTCCCGGCGCCTTGTTGGCGACCTTGTTTCTGCTACTCCACCGCTCCGAAATGAAGCACCCAGGAGATTTCCCCGAAGTAGACTTTTATGAGAACCCCTCGATCCACCACCACCACAGGCACAGACACAAGCAACAAGACTCCTTCACCGATAGCTTCGCGTATCTCGGACCTTTCAAATTCAAAGATAATCTAGTTTATGACATTGCTCCTTTAGAAAATGAAAGAAAGAATGACTGGATGAATATGTCTAATGACCAAGTAGGAGAAATAAAGGATAAGAAACATCTGCACTGGCCAATAAAGAGAGAAGCAGTTATTGAAGGAGATCTTGTACTTGGAGGTCTGATGATGGTTCACGAGAGATCGGACAATATGACATGTGGCCCAGTAATGCCTCAAGGAGGAGTTCAGGCATTGGAGACGATGTTGTATACACTTGATTACATAAACAATCAGTTAATGTTAATCCCTGGAGTGACGCTGGGTACGCATATTTTGGATGACTGTGATAAAGACACGTACGGATTGGAAATGGCTGTGGATTTTATCAAAGGTAACGTGGATTCCTAATACAATTATTAACCTCAGACCTTGGGCAACGTAAGAGCTATATAGCGCTCTTTACGAATATGTAGCGCAAGTCAATCTTGCCACGGGTTACTTTTTAATATCCGAAATCTCATGACACAAAATTTTTACGAACATGACTTTGATTTAATTTACTCGATACTATATTAAATTGTTGAAAAATGCCAAATACTCATTTTATTTTTATTTCGGGACGAACAAGTTGTGCGTAAAAAATGGTGGTGGTAAGCGATACGCCTGTCCATGACAGATGCAGTGTCATTTAGAGCTCTAAATCGCAAAGATCTTATAGGCACTGCCCTTGCGTCCGTTACCTTGACACATAAATTGACAAGTCCCATGTGTGTGTAATTTCACCAACACCCTTAGCCTTCAAACCCGAAACGCAGCAATACCTATACGCAGCGATATATATACTGCTTGGCGAAAGAAATAGCAATACAACACAGCACACATAAAACAGGCAATACTTCTCTGGACGATTTCTTTCATAAGGAGCTCTACTGCTACTATTTCCTTATGTATAGTTGAAAAAACCTAGTAATTTGGCAACACCACGTTGATAGCTGCAAACTTCACTCTGACAGACCTTCAGAGATTTTGTATCCAAAGATCACGCATATTTTTTTTTTTCAGGTTCAATAAGCAACATAGACGACGCAGAGTATGCGTGCAATGCGACGGCGGTGCGCAAAGTGATATCGGGCGTGGTGGGCGCAGCGTCCTCCGTCACCTCCGTGCAAGTCGCTAACCTGCTACGCCTTTTCAAGATCCCGCAAGTAAGATTTACCTAAATATACAAGTTAGCTACTTAAGTAGGTACACGTCTTTTTGAAATACACGAAAACATGGATGTATTTTGGGGAAGATTGGTAGATATACGTACAGATATGATAATAGTGAATGAGACAAAGTCTGAATTTTCATAATACAGATGCAGTAAAATGTAATCGGGTCGAAAACAGTACTTTGTGCACATTTACATCGCTTTAAACGATGTGAGAGTGAGACACGAGTACGATTAAAATTCCAAACATTTCATTATTTCTTCAGTTCAGAATATCCCGGGGGGTATTTGTAATTTCATCGATTTGCAACAATCACGTACGTGCTGATCATAGTTTTATGCTGACCATTTCGTTGCAGTGATGGAAATCAGTCGGCGCTAGATGATGTGACGATGTTGCTGAACACAACAGTTCAAACATTATAATTCTGTTTATTTCACAGTTAAACAAATTCCACTTCATTAAACACTACTACTTATTTGTAAGGCAGCTTCGATGATTAGCGGCTGCTAATTGCGGTTTTTATAATTATCTCTTTTTCGGTTTTTGATGTTAAGTCATTTATTTAAATAGAAAACTATTTATTACATTAAATAAAAGTTCTTGTGTAAATTGCCACCGTTTAAAATGTAAAGAAAATATCAATCCAAGAGTGATGGCAGACGATGTACTGTTCCGTCTTTCGGTGCGAGAAGGACAGCAGGTTCTGGTCTTGTGATACTGCATTTTTAGAATATCTACTCCGTGTTGACAATAACAAAGGATTCGCTAGGGTATGTTACGTCTTTCCCCCCGTCAAAAAAAAGGTATGTTACGTCGGCTGTAGTATTCATGCCAACTCAACGAGGAGTCAAAGTGGTCGCCTTGACCGAACACAGTTGGAATAGATATGTATGTGTAGTATTTAAAAGAGTCGCATATATAGTAATATGCGTTATTTTCTACCAGGTATCATTCTTCTCGACGTCACCAGAGCTGTCGAACAAAGCTCGGTTTGAGTATTTCACGCGCACGATTCCATCAGACCTGCACCAGGTGCGCGCTATGGTCGAAATCGTCAAACGACTTGGTTGGAGCTACGTCTCAATTATTTATGAAGAATCCAGCTATGGGATCAAGGTTAGTACGAGTACCCAGTTCTTTGAGACACTATTACACTGAGATTCGATCCTAGACGGGGCGGTGCGATAACAAGACGACAATATGCCGTATTTGTTGCCATGATTTGGCTGCAATATTGCCGTTGCAACGTTGTGACTGCCGCGGCTACCTGCCTGTCCACGCCCAAACGGATTAAGGGCGCTCCGCGCGGCGCGGGCGGCACGCCCAACAAACATTTTGGCGCTAAGGGCAACCTTTTTTAGCGCTCATACTCTCATTAATTATGTATACGAGCTTCCATAATAACGTTCGGCTCTATTGTGGTTATAGGTATAAATAATTAAACCTTCAAGAGGAATAATAGTAACATAGAAAAAAATATTACTTTAGGCGGTTGTACGGAGTTGGACGGAACGGTTGTACAACTCACTCTCATGGCTTTAAGAAGCTAAAACACTAAAAGCAAGTGTACGGTGTCTACTACCGGTTGATGTTCTTAAACAGAGTTATTAAATAACTTATACCACCTAGCAAGTTTTGCCGAGCCCTAAAAGTTAACAAAAAAGCTTTTAGTGTCTTAGAAGTGTTCATTATAAATCCTATAGTTAGAGCTAGATGCTGCAAGAGTCAAAATCCACCTTCAAATCATTGCTGGCTAAACAATGGGGTTAATCAGTCAACCTTAGGTAAAACAATGGTTTTTTGAAAGAACCTCTATAAGACTGCAAATCGTATGTGCAAACTTCAATAAATTGCCTTATAGAATTTAAAGCACTTGAATACGCCATACTACAACCTAACCTCAAAAATAATATTATGTTACGTATGGTAACACTATAGGACGCCCTAAGTTATATTCACATTTATACACAATATATGAGGATGGATCCAAGATACGAATTGTGATGTCAGAAAGTGAACATCAGTGAAACAAGGAAGCGAATGTTGAGGTCATAAACTACGAACTTCAAATTAATTTAAGCCCATGCCAACGTTATTAATAGTGGGAACATTGTTAGAAAACTATGGTTGCCTTCATCTCAAGGCAGTGAAGCATTAGCTGTGTTTGCAATTGAACGATTACACGTGTCTCACAAATAGCTTCCATTTAAATTTCCAACAATAAATTGTGATGACAAATCAGTATTGTATTCATATGATGTAGAAATAATAATAACGTGCTAAACAACCCACCAATTACCTGCATGGTCTCAGACTGGACAGTTCCCCAGAACACCCAGACCAGATCCAATTTCGAAAAGTTTATTTCCTAAGTTGATCTTACCGAGAATCGAACCCTGATCATCCACAGTGCAAACTTTTGGGCCATCATTGCCAATTTGAAAATATGATTTTTCTCTCCGAAAATCTGTAGCTACACTTTTTGATAATAATTATTGCACATTCAAGGGCGACCTCGCGGGTGTGTCCTCCTAACAATACCTATGTTAATATACTGTGCCATTGTGCACGTGAGAAAAAATACAGCTTCCTTTTACCAATTCGGTTAAGTATTGCACGCACTGGTGAACGGAGGGTGCTCAGATGTAATCCAGTAAGTACTTAATTAAATAGGAAGCTTAAGAAAACTTTCTTGGAATGTGGTGAGGGTAATTACGTCACGTTTATTTCGATACTGAGAGAATGTATGTAATTGTATCATATTGAATGAATGAATTATTAATTAATTAATTAATCAACTAATGAATAAATAAATAAATAATTGTAAGTTCCTGTTGCCTTTTCTTAATATAAATTTTAATCATTTCAAAATAAAGCCGACATTTACGAGTTTTTAGCAAAAGGTGCTAAGGTGAAAAGCTCCAAAAAATTAGCAAGACGATAAGTTGGGAAATTGCTATACAAAAGTTTAATTAAAAGATAGCGTACTTACCTTGCACAGAGTAACTTCTAAATATTTTACCGATTCTTAGCGGTCGACTCCTTTCGTGGGCAACTCGTCAGCACAATGAGACATTAGAGTTTTTCGAGCGTCAGCGTCTTGCCAAAGGAGGGGGGTACTCAAAGGTTGTTTCAAAATTTACAGAAAGAACGACTTGTAAAATGAAACTCCAAAACTTTAAAATTATTTAGGATTCCGTTCGTAACTTTCATTGGTTTAAAAAAAATAGTTATTCGTTATGCAAAGTTGTTGTTTGATTCGAGTGCTTGTATTGAAACCTGAGCAAGCGAAGGAAGCAAGATTGAAAAAATAGATTCCTGAGCGTAGCGAAGGTTTCAAGTCACGAGACGCAAAACAACTGTGATGCTGAGCGAAACACGCAAGTTTTCACCTTATTATAGCGAGGAAAATGGTAGATGAAAGAAAAACAGTTGAACTTTCAAACATCAGTACACGCTAGCGTGCCAAAAACGCTTTTGCGTGCAGATTTCTAATGAGAAGTCGCCCCGCGACGGTGCGCGAGACGCGGAATCACGCGCGCGGTAGCGGAGACGCAGATCTGCGACAACGCTCGGTTTAATCTGCGGCGCCACTTAAAGCACTTACTCATTCATAGTTGATCGCCGTAGTGATTGTACATGTAGCTGAGATCCTTCTTTGACAAGAGTGGTTAACAATATAGAACTCATTCTGGACGCTGCAGTTATACTGTCTATTTGGTTTTTGTTTACTCAAATAAAAAGACACCGAAGATATTGGGTACATCCCTTTCTACGAACCGGGTCGATTAATGGATCATTTCAACTTTATTTCAAAGATTTAAGTATTAGGATTATCTTTTCAACTACACACGTAAGTCAACTGCATGCTTTGATTATTTGTTAAGGAAAATCCGAACGACAATTAATGGACTAGATACAAATTGGTTAAAAATCTGCGCGGTAGTGCGGAGTTTGCCATTCCTGCCGTTCGCCTCTCGGCGCGCGGAGAAGCGCCGTCGGTGCGTTCGGCGGCGAGTGTTTTCCAAACCAACTGAGGCGCTTCAGTACAACGTTAAAAAACGCAGCTCCGCGCTCCGTCGCGGGGCGCGGTGCAGTGTGTTAATCGCCTAACGAACGCACGGCACGGATTACGACTCATACAAACTCCGCATAAATCTGTACTTTATTTGATTTGGTGTCTAACGATTTAAGTTTTTAGTTAATAATTTTCCACAATTGTACGTATTCAATATTTTCCAAATTAAAAGAATAATAACATACGGGCAGACAATATAATCTAAATAACGGTTTCCAGTTTGCAAGTTTGCTGGCACGATGTTACATAGGTACATTATAAATTATTAAACAATAATGTATCCATAAAATACATAGATCCAATGTTGTTAAGTTTGCAGGCACGGCCCTTGGCGACTCGCAGGCAAAAGCTAAGTTGCATACATTAAATTATCTTTACGAAATCTATAGAGCATGCACAACACCTTAGAGACAAAACAGAACCAGGTTGTAACACAATAAGTTAACAGATCTTATCAAAATAATACAATTTTGGTTCCAGTTGGGACTTAGGCCGTAACACACGGAGCTAATTGCGTTACAATTTCATATAGTCTTTTATTAGTTCCTTGGGATATTTAGGGTTTCTGCACCTAGCAGTGGCGGAGAGCGGATATACTCAAAACAGAAACCGGATCGGAGAACATAAGAATAAAAAATCGGTTGTGCAACGGTGTATGCGACGTAATATTACATTAACTCTCCTACTAATACCTTCATCATCATCACCATTGTCAACTCTTTATACGTCCCGCAGCTAGGTACTGATAACGAGTTTATACTTTTTGTTGTTAGTAGCAGTAGAAGAGTGAAAGAGTTTGTCCAGGGAAATACTGCCACCTTACATATTTCTGCCGAATAATATGAGCATGACTGTGTTCCGATTTTGAAGGGTAAGTAAGAGTGCTGGTAAAACTACAGGCACATGGGACTTGTCAACTTACATCTCAGAGTGACAGGTGCAATGGCAGTGCCCCGTAGATGTTTGCGATGTAAAGCTCTGAGCGGTGTCTGTCCCGTCACTTGGTATACACAAGACTACAGTCATGCCCAATGCTAATTGGGTCGTCCACGTTTGCCAAGGGCACCGCCTTCGTCGACTTCCAAGTTTCATCACAATGATTTCCTTCACAGTCAATGTGAGTTATTGTTAGTTCACATTCAGAAATGCACGTAACTTAGAATTTTAAATCATAATTAAGAACTTGCCACCACAATAATTCCAACCCTCGATCTCTTTCATGACAAGCAACCGTTCCTGGACTACGCTATCAATTTCTAACTTAACCAGAAAATTTAATAACCATCGAAAACACTGAAAATCACAAACTACCTCCGAAACAATTATTTCCACAAACAAATAACTCGCACCCATAAACAATTAAACGTAAAACGTATACAAATAGTAACACTAGTCGAGGTCTTAGGTTTTCGCTATTGCTACATATTTGATAAAAAACAATTTTTCGGCTGCCCACCGCAATAACGGGACCTGTAAAAAAGTCCGAAATTATGGTTTGTAAAAAGTATTTCATTCCCCTATACAATTTTCGTCATATTCCATTCATTTTTCTCCATATTATTCTATACTTATACAATAACATCTACTATCAATTTTATTATAGGACATTTATTAATGTAACTTACACCCTTTGCCTCGAGCCGAGAAATTCTGTCTTTCTCACCTGCCCAAGTGTATTAATTTCTTTGCATATTTTTTTTTTTCATTCAATGCCCATAAACTGCCTCCGTGGCCGAAAGGATACAAAGCTGATCTGCCACGCAGTGCCCGGGTTCGATTCCCGGGCCGGGAGAAATATTTATATGGCCTACATATTTTGTTTGTTCGTGAGTTTGGTTGTAATTTGTGATCTACGTGTACGTCTATGGCACCCGCAATATCGGGATACCCTAGTGCGGGGCTACGAGTGTGTGCGTTATTATTATTTATTATTATTATTCGCAGGCATTCGAAGAATTGGAAGCTCTTCTAGCGCGAAGTGACATCTGCATTGCTGTGAAGGAGAAACTAGTGAAAGACTCGGGCGTAGCCGACGAGAGGGCGTACGACGAGATCGTGCAGAAGTTGCTTACCAAGCCTAGAGCTAGAGGTTTGTGTTATTATTGGGTAGTGAACTAGTCCATTTTTTCCCATTACTAAAACATAATATTGTCTCGGTTTCAAAAACAAATCGGTTTTGTTGCCGATCACAAGAGAATAGCCTGTAGATATACTATTTCCCTTGCCTGTTCGAATCCGTCTGTCCCTTTCCACATAGATTATTAAAACAAATTTCTTAAGCGTAGTGTGCTTAGTGCCAATTACTTTTAGACTCTGCAATAGCAAAAGTTCACTTTTCACATCAATGTTCGTGTTGTCCGTAGAAGTAATATTTTTATTGCAACATGGCGACGACGGTCCACATTTCATTTGTCATCTTTTTATAAATAATTACGTCAATGAACATGACGCCTCCCTCGGTTTGGGCTAATGTACGCGGATAGATGCTTTTTATGGAAACCAACTGTAACAAATTTATAAGTATTTAAATGTGTTATGATGACTCAAGATAATATTTCACAATAGACTTCAAAAAGAGGGATGTGAAAATACCTGTGGCAAAATCTCTCAACTCACATTCGAAATACAGTATGGCCTAAGGTGTTATTAGGATTTCTTTTAATTAAAACATCTAAGAAAGCTAAATCACCACAATTCTCTTGTTCCATAGTAAATTGGATCTTAATACTAAAAGAATTAAGATGGTCCAAGAAAGAAGGTATGCTATCTTTAGGTAATATTGTGAAAGTATCATTAACGTACCGTGTGAAAATCTTCGGCCTAGCTGGGGCCATGGGTAAAACTTGCTCCTCGAAGTCTTCCATGAAAATATCGGCAACAACGGGAGATACCGGGGAGCGCATTGCTATACCGTCGATTTGTAGGTAGAATTCATTATTCCACAATAGATAGCCTGATGTTAGGCAGTGTTCTAATAATCCTGCATATTCAATGGACATATTATGTTCCCTCAGCTTTCTACGTACAATTTCAATGCAGTCTTTTACTGGTAGGTTGGTAAACAGCGACTGAACATCAAAACTGACCATGGTGTCATCATCATTTAACCGTAGATCTTTGATTCCACTGATGAAATGGTATGAATCCTTCACATGTGTAGAAGTGTTCCCTCTCAATGGTGACAGTACCTTTGCCATGTGTTGCCATTGACACACCAACCTACCAACTGGCTAACTATGGGACGGAGTGGGGTGTCAGCCTTATGTATTTTTGGTAACCCATACAGTTTAGGGGGTTTTACGCAGCGGGGTACAAACTCACTTACATCAAGTTTCAGCGTATCGGAGTGCTTAGATATTAAGTTAGTTGTTGTTTTTAATATCTTGGTGGTAGGGTCTTTCTTCACCTTTTTATACGTGCTTTCATCCGATAGTCATTCATCATTCAGTAAGTCAGTTATTTTGCTGTTATAATCTGACGTATTCACGACCACCGTCGCGTTACCTTTATCTGCACGGAGGATGACTAATTCAGGATCTTCGCGGAAGGTTTTCAGCGCGTTATATTCATCTCGAGTAAGATTCGGTCTGGGCTGTTTATTTGAACGCAATATTGACGAAACGTCTTGGCGTATTGCCTCCAAATCTTCCTTTCTCATGTTGTTTTTAACTAGACAATCCTCAACGTTACAAATAATTTCTTCATATGGAACACGACGAGGAGCCACTGCGTAATTCAAACCCTTTTGCAAAACTGAAAAAGCCATGGGACCTGCAAAGGGCCCGAAACGTCGGTTTGTTTGAAAAAACAATAGTTTCATTTCCTATGTGTAACAATCGCGAAAACCTAAGAACTCGATATTACTATTATTTATTATTTTCCACGTAGCTTTGCACTTGTTTGTAGCTCTGGAAATATAATAGATATTTTGACGCTTTTTGTTAATTGGATTATCCTCTTTAGTCTTGTAGATAAAAGGTTATATGCAGTTTTAGTCTCATTTCTCTTTGTTGTTCTGTATTCACATAACATATCCCTTTTTTTTTACAGCACAATCGTATTCCACGTGAAAGCCATCTTGGTTTTTCTTTAACAAAATTTTTTACTCTTACTACAGGAAAACACAATTGATAAAAAAGTTTGAAAGTGTCATAAAAAGCGTTAAAAGCCTCATTGCAGTTCCTGGCTGTTCTTGAATCGCTAAAGCTGAGTTTGCTCAGACATTCTTTGAATTGTATCGTATTTTCAAGAGAATAGTCTCATCTATAGGTGTACCATTGCTTTAATTTTACTAATTTTCCAACTGGGCATCGAGCAAACTGTGATGTGTGATCGGATAACGCAAACTCAGTTACTTCTACCTCACACCCATTAATATTATGTATAACAATATCAAGACACGTACCACTACTTGGACGGGTTGATTAATATAATGCTATTTTCAGATTAAAACTCTGCACTATATTCGTGTGTTATCACGTCCATGTATAAAAAATTGTTAAAAAGTTCTACTCTTCTGTTGAACAAAGTAGTGTAATTGCCATTTTTGTATGTTGGTAAAGATAATATAAAATTAGTGTGAGTTAGTTTACAAAGTTTTTCATTAATGAGGTCTACAAGTTTATGATAATCGCAAGTTATTTTAAAGTCATTTTCTCCTATCAGTATACCACAATAGTCATTATTCGAAAAGTTCTCTAGTTTTCCCTCTATATTATTTACTAATTCCCGAACACGTCCTCCTGGAGTTATTATAATGACACACGTCCTCAAATGTGTCAGCTTTGCCTACTATTAACGGTAGTATTTTGTTTATTCTATTGGTACTCAAAATACACAGTTTCTTGTTTTCTCCTACGTTATAATAGTTTTGGATTGAATTTGTAGTTTTATTTTTCATGTCAGGTTTTTCATTATGTATATTTTTACGTTTATTTACTGTTTTATCGTTAACTTTTTTGTTCTTGTGTTTGTTTTGCTTATTTTTATTCTCTTCTTTTTGTTTGATTTCCTGTTGTTTTCTAGAAGTTTGTTCTTCATTTTTAGTAATAGGAGTAGAAGTTCATTTTGCTGTTGAATTTTTATGCTTAGGGTTTTTTTAGCAGATATGTCAGTGTCATTTTGGACAATTAGATACTTATTCAAGTACACGGATGTCACAGGACTTATCTATAATGATTTTCTAAAATAAATTCGTTTTTGTTGGTGTCATTGAATTAATGTATGTACATGTCCTTGTATTTTCTGGTTTTACTTTCCAAATTTCTAATTATCTTTTTAAGATGGTTGTTTTAAAAAGTAATTTTTCTATTTCCTAGGCAGCGCCTCTCATTTGTGCTCTAACTTCTTCTTTCAGTTGGTCTATATGTAGATCTCGTTTACGCATTGATATGTCCGGAACGCTGCAGAAGGATTCCATGCTGCAGTTTGTGCCAAACGTATTGTCATTAATGTCATTGGAAGCTGACTTTATCTTCTGTCTTAAAGTCACATACTCGCTATCTGCATATAGTATGGTCGATTTAAAACTGTCTTCTTTCTCGTCTCCTTTACTCGTTACCTTGGCTTGGTCCGTATTTGCCTTATTATAGGTGCCATGGTGTCGTTTCTAATTTTATTATCAAAAAAATCTATTTTGTGGTCAAAAAAAATGAATAAATAATGTTATTAAAATGAAAATATTAATAATATAATATCAAACAAAAAAAAGTTTTCTTTGCTGCGGTTCAAACTGTGAGCTGCCCGATCGGCAGTATTCGGTCACTGCCACAAAACTACAAGTAGTCTTATCGGCTTTGGTGAAATTGTTAGTCAGCTTTTTAGGGTCGTATTCCAGAACTCTACTCAATGCTGAAGTCAGGATTTGAGCAGACTTGAGTATGATTTCAAGCACTGGAAATACGACCCTAACGGCAAGGATTTGAGTATAATTTTCAGTGCTCACTACAATACTCAAGTCCTGACTTGAGTATTGAGTAGAGTTCTGGAATACGACCCTTAGACTTGCATTTAAATTAACGCATGACGGGTGGGTAGGTCACTTTATATAGCACAAATATTCGAAGTCCACTGCACTCGAATCAATGTTTACTGGCAACAATGGAATTCTTGAACTGAATATACACTATTAGCTACGATTATGCACAGTTATCTTTACACTTTAAATTCTTTTAGTTGTCACATTTATGACACGAGTTTAACTTTATGTTTATATGATTTTATTGTCATTTAGATATAATTTTTAAGCCAAAATATGATTGTCACTTTCAACTGTATTGTTTGATGTATTTAATTGTTCTTTTTTAAAGATAACACTCCCACTGGTTAGTCATACTATATTCTATCTATTTATGCAATTTTATTTTGATTATGGACTTGTTTACTATTTTTATCAAAATTATTAACACAACTACGATCTTACTACACTGCCCCTAGATGGCGCTCTATTTTTAAGTCTTTCGTTGTTATGATGACCCGGTGAAAATTGCAGAAATCCGCTGGGCGGAAGCAGCATGAGACCGGCCGTTTGATGATCTTTGGGCCTATGTCCACCAGTCGACGACGTTGAAGTGATGATGATTATGATTTTTGTGTTCTGTGTATATATAATATATATAATAATTATTATTATTATTTGTTGTTTTCTTAAGTAGCCATACATGTTACAATAGTTTAGTTATATAATGTCCAATAAGTCATGGTAATAATTGAGAAGTACTTAATACAAAAATTCACTACAATTTTCTACATGCTTTATAACAGTAAATAATTATGAAAAATTTTAATTTAACTAACATTTACACAAATTATAAAATTAGTATTACATTTAAATAATAACATTATACATTACATTCTGAGATTAACACTTTTAATTTCATTCCGAAGATAGAAGAGCATAAACAGTAATTAAAATGTGGTTTAAGAAGATCATAAACATTATTTCTTAAAACTTATTTCATTGATCCAAATTATTCCGGCGCGTGTTACATTCGCTCCTACACTAGGCATAGCCTGTCCCGTAGGTAACCAACTCAAAGGTGAGGTTACAACATAGAAAGCGTGGATTCTATAATCTTATTCCTATTCATT